TCACGGCGAGCCGCTCGGAGTGCACGGGCAGCACCTCGCTGGGAGCTGGAGGCCGACGCACGGGCTAAGAGGGTAGATAGGAGGACATGGCACGCGACTCCAGATGGAAGAGTCGAGAGGAGGAGGAGGAGGGAGAAGGCAGACGGGGTCAAGAGGAGGAGGCGGAGGAGAAGGAAGGAGTCGAGAGGAGGAGGAGGAGGAGGAGGAGGCAGAATCGAGAGGAGGATGAGGAGCAGGAGAAGGAGGAGGGGAAGCGCGGAGAGCGTTCAAACATGTTGGACGTCTTAGGAGCTTTTCTGCGCCTCCGAAGCCTCCGTGCGATGAGGAAGAGGAAGGAAAATAATATCCTTCCTCTGCCTCTAAAAGGAGTGGGAGGAGGAGGAGGAGGAGGAGGAGGAGGAGGAGGAGGAGGAGGAGGAGGAGGAGGAGGAGGAGGAGGAGGAGGGGGGAGGATGGCATCTAAATGTTTTGGACGTCTTGGGGCTTTTCTGCGCCTCCTGCAGCTTCCAATGGGAGGAGGAAGGGGACGGATGGACGGACCGACGGACGCTCCATGAGCGTTGGGGCGCGGTCCCAGCGGTGGCGCCGTGGTGCCAAGTGGAGGGTTTTGAGGCCACAGCTCCACATATTATCAGGACGAGTACCAGTAATAGTGGCAGTAGTAAGAATAATACTAGAGATGACAAGTTCTGGAATGACAGGTGCACCGTGCGATGTGCGCGTCGGGGCACGACGAGGGTATCCTCAGGCTTCGGACGTTTTGGGGTGTTGGCTGCATCGACAGCAGCTGCCTCCACGAGCCCCCACACCTTCGCCCGCGCGGCGGTGCCTACGGCTGGTTTGAAGCAAACAGCGGTGCCCGCTGATCCGAATTAGCGCCGGAGCACGTCGAGGCTTGAAGGCGGCGGCGGGGGGTCTGAACTGGTTGGGACCCCAGAGAACCTGTCACGAGGGGAGGGTGCAAATCCGCTCAAAATGGGTCCCTGGACCCCTTCCCGGGGTCCGTCTGGCGCAACTTTACCCCAAATGTGTGGTGTGTGTGTGTGTTGTTGTGTGTCGTTGTGTGTCGTTGTGTGTTGTGTTGTGTTGTGTTGCTTTGTGCTGTGCTGTGCTGTGCTGTGTTGTGTTGTGTTGTGTTGTGTGTGCATGTGTGTGTGCGTGTGCGTGGGTGTGTGTGTGTGTGTGCGTGTGTGCGTGTGTTGATGGTCCTGGGGCCTGGAAACGGCCCTCGGAAGCCGAAAAAGGGAAAACTGCCCGAACCTGAACCTCGAACCTGCCACCCCTTCCTGCTGGCCGGCACCAGTGCTGAGCCACCTCAGATCTCCCGCCGGCTCCAAGTCGAGGCAGTGCTTGCCGAACGCCTCGCAAAGTCCGCGCCTCGCACGGGGTAGCACCACCTCGCGCCTCCGACAAACCCTCCCAGCGCGAAGTGCATTCGCACCCGTCGCAGGGGGCGGGGGAGGCGCCGTTCCCGCGGGGGATGGTTCCGCAGGCTTCTGGGACGCGGAAGCACGAACAGACACTATGTGATGCTGTTGGAGGCCCACGTCCGAGACGGACAGATCGAATGCAAATCTTAGGATAATATATATCTATATATATATACACACATATTCGTATCGACTCCCAAGCGGTATGGCCCATACGGTATGGCCAGAAAGCGCAAAGCGCCCGCCACGGAGCTCATACTGCCAGAGCGCTTCGCCCTTGGGGGCCTACGCGCACTCAGCTCGGGGGATGGACAGAGCCCCCCTTTTGGTAAAACCTTGGCTTGGTGAAAGCGACCTCGGGCCCAAACCTGGCGGGCGCAGGCCCGGAAAATGACGGCCGCGGCGCCCTCTCGAGAACCGAGAACGGACAATCCACTGGTCGACGTGTCCGGGTGGGGGCTCTGTCCACCTCTGGTAGTAGCACAATGCGTGCTCGGCGGTGCCGAGCTTCCGCGCTGGCGGTGGCCTTGCGGCCCGCTGCGTCGCCGCGCTGACCGTGCGGCTCGTGGCTGGTCTTCTGCTGCTGGCCGAGCCGGGCCTCGGAGCCTGAGGCACGCCCCCGCCAGAGTATGGGTCCCTGCCGTTGTCGCTCGAGCTCGTTTACGACCACAGCGGCCGCCTGCCTGCTTGGTTCCTGCCTGCCTCGCTTTCTCTCCGCCGTCGGCATTCTTTTCCTCGGCGATCTGCTCGCGGCAGGCCTCCTTGCGGTGCCCCTTGTCTCGCAGTAGTGGCGCTGGGTGTCGGCGTCGGGTCTGACGCGAGGCTGGCCTTTGCCATTTTTTCAAGCTTTCCCTGGCCTCGACCCGTCGATGGCCTCTTTCCTCCATTCAAGGCGGGTGTTCAGACTGGCGCTGATGCGGAACGCTTGCTTCTGGAGCTCTCCATGATCTATTAACGCGGTTGATAGTATGATAGAAGCCCCCTGGATCATGTCCGACAGCCGCCCCTCCCCGGTATCTCTGGGTACTTCGCGATATCTTCGCCGAAATATGCTCGCGAAGATGCCAGCATTAACCTCGAACTTCGTATCGCCCAGTTTCGTCCACATCGCCACGACGGTCGCAGCGAAGCTCCCACCAAAACTCGCCGTCTACTCCCTGATTCGAAGTACGGCGATCATCTTGCCCACCGAATCCCCTGGCAGCACCACTTCGGGAGCGGCCAAGAGGGGGTGTCCAAGAGGGGGGGGGGGGGGGGGGGGGGGGGGGGCAAATCATGACCGGCGGCATGTGCGCGGCCCAGCGGGGGGGCCAGGGACGTAATGAAATAAGAAGAGGCGCCATATGAAATCCCGGGAAATATCATGGCCCACGCCATGATATCCACCCCCCCTAGTCATCACCCCCCTCTTTTCCGCCCCCGACCACTTCGTCCCCTGATACTGTGACGGTGTCCACGTCCTGGTCGCCGGCCTCTGCACTCTCCAGCAACAGTCGGCACCTCCGACCCTGCCCTGCCAATGACGCCTTGCACTGCCAGCCGAACGTCCTCCAACTTCGGCCAGCTTCGCCGCGCGGCGTCCTCAGGTCGAACAACTCTGGGTATCGTTTAACCGATCCCCATCCCCAGCGGCGTGGCCTGGGCCCCACTGGCCGATTTACCCCCCCAAATGGGGATTGAGGCATGATCCTTCGGCGTTCGACGGGTGAATCCCCAACTGGGGGTATAATTTGATGGGGGTCTCGAGGGGGATGGGGACGGGGATGGGGATTGGTTAAACGATACCGACACTCACTGAGGTCAGGCGTGCCAGCCAGTCGCCGCGAACCGGCACTGGCGTCGGCTGCAGTGCCCCCGCAGCCAGCCACCTGCTGCATCTGCTCTGCCCGCCGCTCGCGAGCGGCGAGACTCACAGCCGTCGTCACCGCGGCCCTTGCCCTGCGGCACCCCAATCGGGAGCGTTCAAGAGGGGGGTGTTCAGGAGAGGGGGGTGCAAATCATGACCGGCGGCATGTGCGCGGCCCCCCAGCGGGGGGCCAGGGACGTAACGAAATAAGACGAGGCGCCATGACATCTGGGGAAACATCATGGCCCCCGCCATGAGATCCACCCCCCTAATCATCACCCCCCTCTTTGCCGCCCTCGACCAAAAGGCAGCGGTTCTGGTAGAACCGGGGTCTCGGCCCTAGGGCGTTCATAGAGAGCAGAAACTCCGCCCCCACACGAATCGCCCCGACACGCGACGAAATTTCGTAAACGCGCCCAGAGTGCGGGGCCTGCCAAAGAGGGGGGCCCGGCTCTGGAACCCTTTTCCAGGACCTTCCAGAACCAGGATCAATCAGCATCGAATCGAGAAATCGGATCGAATCGAAATGTACGTCGGCACATCGGGCTGCATCGGCACGGAGTCGGAATCGAATCGGATCGGCTGCGCCAAAACGCATATCATCGCTATGCAAACATCGGGCCGCATCGGAACGGGCTGGAACCGATGTCGAATCGAATAGGTCGGATCGAAGTGGGCCCACACCACGACGCCTCTCTCCAGGGGCGCTTCGCGCCGCGCGAAGCGCGAACGACCCCGCGCTCTCGCGCCCACCACCCCCCGGGGAGAGGAAGAAGACGAGGAGGATGAAGCTGCACGAATCGCGGACCGCGGATCACGTCGCGCCCTCGTGGCGGCGGCCCCTGTTTCCACGGCGAACCAGACTGGCAGCCCCGCGCCGTCGTCCTCCTCCTCCTCGCTGCCGCCGCCGTCGAGCGTCGTCGTAGTCGGCTCGGCGGCGGCGGCGGCGGCGAAGGCCGCGGCCTCGTGCTCCAGCCACCTGCCGCGCGCGTTTGGGGGGTCGTCCACGCCCCCGTCGTCGCTGCCCTTGTCGTTGTCGGACTCGTCTCCTTCCTCCTGCTCCTCCTCCTCTCGTCTTTCCTCCCTATCCTCCCCCCTTCATCTTTCCTCCCGTCTTATCCTCCTCCTCCTCCTCCTCCTCCTCCTCCTCCGCATCCCCCTCCTCCTCTCAATCCTCCTCCAACACCTCCTTCGGGTCGTCGCTCTCCTCCCTCCTCTCCTCCAGATTTGGCGGCGGCGAAGGCGACGACCACGATGCTGATCACTACGAGGACGAAGCTTCCGAAACGTATGTCTGGCTACCAAAGCACCCGTCCGCAACACCCTCCCCGCTCGGGGTGTCCGTCTTATCCGCGCGTCGGTAATTACCAAGGGCGTGTTCTGTAAAATCGCCCGCTGCCGTGGGTATCATCTTCTCGGTTCTGCACACGATCGACAATGGCCACTAACCGTTATAGATCTTTAGAACCCCCATCGTTGGAAACGGACTGTCTCTTCCGACGCCCTTATTGACGGACGGGGGCCCTGCCGGTAGTGAAAAACAACTACTCATCAACGGCGCCCGCCGCGCAACAACGACGACAACGACGACTACGACTCAGATTGCGACTACGACTACAATCGCGACTAGAACCAGGATGATAATCACGATTCCAACAACGACTGAAACCACAACCACCGATTCGGATAGCAATAGTCATGAAATGTGCTCACACATCGCCTCCCGCGTAAGGCAGCCCACAATGAACCATTACATGGGGGGAAAGAAA